CTTTGCTGTTTCATTGTCTAGCTAATTGAGTGCCTAATATTACAATGCTGGATTGCAAAATAAATCTTGAGATTTTAATAAGGAAAATCCAACAACCTAGAAACGAGTGAAAACATCCAGAAATTCAAAGCCTGGATTGAAACTGTTGTTTGTTGGAGAGCCTGGATCCTGTTTGTTTCATATAGTCTGCTGCTGTCTTGGAAAGCATGAAAAAATAGCTTATGGCATGACTACCCAAGCAAAAGATAGAGGTGCTACCAACTGGGAGGAGAAAAATGGGTGAAGAAACCTTAAAGTTGTCCAGAAGCACAGGATCTGGTTCCAGGATAGGAGTCCAATTCTCATTATGACAAGCCTGGCTCAATGGAAGAATTTGGCAACTGAGGAAGAACAACTTTCTGTATCATGTAATTAGCTTATCATCCTGAAAAAAAATAATGGTCTAGTTTCCTCCAGGCAGTGAAGCTGAGTGAAATTTGTTTTAGTGGGATTCTTGCGAATCTCATAGGTAATATTGTGTGCCTGTATGAAGACAGAAGTATTCGACTCTCCTGACTTTTCTCTGCTGATTGCTCTTTCAAGAGTTCTTGCTAAATGCTTGAATGGTGATTCACATCCAACCCAGTGAAGTTGTTCTTACTCCGTTTAGCTGCTTCTCCCTGTCTTAGCTATGTGATCTGTTTATTCTGTGGTGACACGGTATTGTTTTAGGCTCTACATGGCAGCTAGTTGTAAGCTTGCAGAGTCAGTTCCAAAAATGTAGGAAAATAATGGATAAACAATTCTAAAGGATCATTTATAGGTTGAGGAGTACTTTGCTCTCATAAATAACTAATTGGAAACCAGACGTTACCTTCTGTTGTGTTTGCACAGAAAGCAACCAGTCACACAGTGTTTCATCTGCTAAGAACCTCTAATAAAAATTTCGGGTATTATTACAAAAGAATACATAAAAGATCTATTATGCAACTGCAACAGCAATAAAAAACAAGCTATGTATGTAATCACTGTGCAAAGAGCAAGTCTCTCATGAACTCTTGGTGTTGAGAAGGGAAAGGTGCTGAAGAGCATTTTTTTTTGTCTTTGAGGCAGAAAGGGGCGTGGGTTTTCAGTTGTTTTGTTTTGGTTTTTAATTGATTTGTTCTCCTCCAACTTCATGGTATACTAGATTCCACATCGCGACTTTTACCCTTGTTTTCAGCTACTGTCTTTGAACTGAGTGTTGTCCAGTTCTCTGACTTTCATATGAAGAATATTTTTTATGAAATATATATCTGCCTCCTGTCCCTAGTAGCTAACATTTGCACTTGTCATGTATGTGATCCGAAACTGTAACTCAGATTTTCTAAGGTTCTGACTTCCTGCAGCAATTTAGTCCCCAGTGATGTCCTCCTTTACATTGAAACAGTCACCTGCTACTCCTTATCTTAAGGTTTGTATAAAAATTGACAGCTCCTCTTCATATCTGTGAATCAGAGGTCTCCATTAATATTTAATAAAATGAAATAAAAGAACCCTTTTCTCTCATTACATGATAGTTGATGGAAGGTGTGAAGGCCTACTAGGGCTAGTGATTGAGCCAAGTGGTTGGTGGGTTTTTTCCCCTTTTATCTCAGACTCTTGTCTGATAGAATCATACAATAATTTGGGTTGGAAAGGACCTTGAAGATCATCTAGTTCCAACTTCACCTGCAATAAGCAGGGCCATCTTCAACTAGATCAGGTTCCTCAAATCCCTGTCCAACCTGACCTTGAATGTTTCCAGGAATGGAGCACCTACCATGTCTCTGGGCAACCTGTTTCTGTGTTTCACTGCTTGCAGAGTGAAGATTTCTTCACTATCTAGTCTGGATCTACCCTCTTTTGGTTTAAAACTATTACCCCTTGTCTTATTGCAACAGGCATTGCTAAAATGTCCCTCTCGAGCTTTCTTGTAGGCCCCCTTTAAGTATTCAAAGGCTGCTAGAAGATCTCCCTGGAGCCTTCTCTTCTCCAGGCTGAACAACCCCAGCGCTCTCAGTCTTCATTGCTCCAGCCCTCTGGTCATCTTTGTGGCCCTCTGGACCTGCCCCAACAGGTCCAAGTCCTTCTTACGTTGGGGGTGGGGTCTCACAAGAGCAGAGCAGAGGGGCAGAATTACTTCCCTCAACCTGCTGGCCACGCTTCTTGTGATGCAGCCCAGGATACAGTTGGCTTTCTGGGCTTCCAGCGCACGTTGCTGGCTCATGTCCAGCTTTTCATCCACCAGCACTCCCAAGTCATTCTCTGCAGGGCTGCTCTCAATCCCTTCATTCTCCAGCCTGTATTGATACCAGGGCTTGCCCTGACCTGTGTGCAGGACCTTGCCCTTGGCCTTGGTCAACCTCATGAAGTTCACATGGGCCCCCTTCTTGAGCTTGTCCAGGTCTCTCTGGATGGCATCCTGCCCCTCAGACATGATGTCAAGGCTCCGTATAGTTGTACAAGAAGTGGAAAAAAAAAATCATAACAGAAAACAAGAATTAATTTATATCTTTGGGGAACTAATGATGGACATGGCAGTGCAAACACTCAAGAAGCAGAAGCGGCTCCAGCAGGATGAGTGTGAAGTCTTGCAGGAGGAAACACATCACAGTACACAGGAAGGGTAGTGTTTTCACAGCTGTTACTGAATAGCTGTTTAGAGGCACACACTCAAAAATATTTGCTTCTTTGTCTCCATAGCTGGACTCTGCTTCTGCTTTGCCGCATTCTTATCATTCTTCTCCCTTCTGGAAAATGAACTCTTCTGTTCCTTAGAGTTATTTAGCATTTTGTAGAACTATCTGAGAATGTTACAGGAGTTTGACAGAAGTTTGTAAAGCTGGTTTATGTAGATTTGTTTGGAAGGAAATTTGTTACTTTTGTATCTCTGAAGGATATGAAAAGGGTATAGTTCCTGTGTTTTAACAGCTGAATAACTGGTTTGTAGTATAAATTTGACACCTTAATTGAAATGTTTTGCTGTGTATTCCTTTCCTATGCAAGCAAAGACGTTTATTAGAAAATTTAAATATATGTGAAGAAACAAGTCATATAATTAGTTTTAGTCTATCTGTTTTTGTCATCTAACTATGAAAAGCATTATTGTCCTCCGTGGCAATCTTGCATGTGTGACTGTGGGGAAAAAAGAGTTCAGACTGGTTACCTGAGCCTTAATGACAGTTTTAACCTTTTCTTGTATATAAAGTATTGGGGAAATATGATAATAAAACTAGTTACAAAACAGCAAAGTATGGACATTGTTTTTGTGTGTCATTAGCAGCCTTTCTTCCTTCTTCATAGGTATTTCCTGTGTACCCTTTTATTTAGTCAAGGAGGTGTTTCATATGTCAAGGTACAAAATGGATTTAAAAAAATCTGATTAGTTTGTGGTATGTTTGAAGACCTCCTTAATGTCAGTATTGCTTATTTGAAAAGAACATTTCTCTTTGTCTATTTTTTAAAAATTGTAATAGTTCTTAAGTGATTTTTTTGAGTTGGCTGTTGTGCAGCAAAGTGATTTAAATTTCATTATTTAAAGGTATAATATGTAAAATTCAAAACAAGCTGTCTTTGTCTGTGCTTGAGAATTTTATCCTTATAGCATCGTGAACTTCTTTAAGCATAAGCATCCATGATGCCATTGCAGCTTTTTTGCTGGAAAGTATTATTTCCTGTTTAATGTGTTGATGAGTTTGTGGATTCAGACTCAGAATTGTTTCTGTATTCCTAAAGAGTATTGCTGCCATTCAGAGACTGTAGGTAAATTCAAATTTCTAATGAAACTGCAATTTGATTTATATCCTGTGTGGTGTTTTTCATGTGTGGGATGGTTTTCCCCACCCACCTATCTTGATTTTCACCTGGTGTCTGAGCAACCTACCTTGGCTTCTTGATTCTCTGGAGAAGTAGTAGTCTGGGTAGTTTAGACCAAGCTATGGTCTAAACCCCCCCACTTCAAACCATGACACCTAGACCTGTTGAAAAGACTACTAAAGTGGAAAGGTGGTTTTCCACACCAAGGGAGGAAGGGAGAAAAGAGCTTTGCCTTTGTATTTGTACGTTTGCTGATATGGTAAGGGGAGGATTTCAGGTAGCCTATATGCACGAAAATGGAGTTGTTGAATATAAGCTATATGGAGATTATGTATCTTGATGAGTGTGTTTTGTTGAGAGATTATGTTGCTGTGTAATGTAGAATATTGCACAGCATCCTCAGAAAACTACCCTTGGGGTGATCTCAGTAAGTCTGTTCAGTGTGCAGTCTGTGGAGGGGAATTCATAGCAAACTAACTCATCTTTAGTTGTAAGTAATTCTGTCATCGAACAGCCGAGTCCCGTGGTTCTTGCCATTCCCCTTCGGAATAGCAGTATTTTTGAATATTTAGCTTCCATCTGAAGACCAGAGGCTTGCCATTGCATGGACCTTACTGTGTCTCACTGTGTTAATAAAACACTCTGAAATATTTGGAGCACTAGAAGTGCATAGACTCCTTAAGAGTCTAGCAGCATTGTGCTCTGCACTTCCATCTGATGGTAGGGAATAGTTAAGTTTGGAGTATGTGTGTCCTTCTATGTTTGGTTTTCTGGTTGTGGGGAGCCTATGAGAGTTTCGTGTGATCAGTGTTACTTGTAGAAGCTGAATTTCTTACGTACGTTCATTGAGAGAGTGTACTTGAATATACACTCCAGAAGTACTTGCATGGGAGAACAGAAGGCCCAGTGACTTTCCCAGCTAGAAAATGCTGTGGCAAATTTGCTTTTTGGAGAATGTACTGCTGTTATTTGGAGCAAAGCTTGTAAGTTTGCAAAAACGGAGATGCTAAGACCTGTCAGTAGTTCATTTCCTTGATTGCTGTTAAATCTAAAGCTACTTAATTCCTAACATGTACACTAAATGTGTGGGATTTTACTCTGTTCTATTTGCTATAATTTTTTTTTGACTTTGGAAGTCCCTTGACATTAAAATAAGAGAAGATAACCTTTTCCTTTCTCCCACAGATCCAGACATTTAATGTTGAGGCACCATGCCAGACTGTGGAAGATTTAACAAATGGAGTTGTGATGGCCCAGGTTCTTCAAAAAATGTAAGAAATTGTTTATTTAATGAATTATCTATACATTTTTCTGTATTTAAGCATATTTTAGTCAAACTTGGCTGGTATTCCATAAGGATGTGGCTTTTCCTATGCTTAGGCAGTACTTTAATCTGGAACATGACTAATATGGATTTTTCTCTATAGTTTTCAGATAACGATCTTAAATGCAAAAAAACCCTTAAACAAAGTTTTGTTTTGGGGAGGTATTTATTCAAGTGTGAGCTTACTGGAAAGTAAGTTGGATTAAAGTTAAGCTTACAAATTCAAACTTTTTAAAAAAGTTGGAACCAGTGCAAGGTGAGGTGTCGGCCCTGATCATTGTTTGAGCCTACAGTCAGTATATCAGTAATGTTGGAATTAGTTTCATGCAATAAAACTTCTGTGATAAACTGAATGGATCTGTCAGTTTCGTTGTTTGCTGAGACTGTGTTCTTGAAAGTAAGTGAAGGAATAATAGCTGTTACACTAGGTAATGTTTTTATTCTTTTGAACTTTAAGATCAGGGAGGATAAAATGCATTAGTTCAGCATTTCAGTATAATCTGGGATGTTTCTGGGGGACTGCAGACAGGCATCTGAAATGTAGCTATATGCAGAATTACCTGTTTTCACAGCAACACAACTTTTTATCAATCCTTAGAAACTTAAGCAGCGTTTACCAAAGTCAGCAATCCAAATTAAGCATGCCAGTTCCTACAGACCAATTTTTTTTAAAAAGATATATTTTATTCCTTTTAATGTGAAGAGAATACTGTCTGGAGTGTAAATGCAGAATAAAGCAGTTTTTATGTGATTTGTTGAAAATGAAAACTGGGCAGATACAGAATGTATATGAACAGCTTTCTGTTATAGTTCTTCTGGTTTGCATCATAGAACAGTTGAATTTGGAAGGCATCTCTGGAGTGTTTAAGACAACTCACCTGCTCAAAGCAGAGTCTGCTTAGAGCAAGTTGCAGCAGGATTGTGACCAGTCAGATTTTGAGTACATGGAAGGATGGAGACTCCACGGCCCCTCTGGGCTACCTGTTCTAATATTCAGTTGCCCTCAGAGTTAAGAAGAAAAAAACAAAAACAAAACCAAACCAAAAACTACCAAACCAGCAGGGAGTGGGGTTTTTCTTATGTTCAGGTGGAAGTACTTGTCTTTCAGTTTGTGCCCACTGCCTCTTGTCTGTTCACTGGACACCACTGAGAAGGTTATGTGAGGGTATAAAGAAGGAGCCATCAGATATTTATACACAGGATTGATAAGATCCCGCTGAGCCTTCTCTTCCTGAGACTAGACAGGCACAGCTCACTCAGTCTCACCTGTATAACAGATGCTTCATTCTGTTAATCCTCTTAATTGCCCTTTGCTGAGTTTCCTTGTTTGTTGAGGTCTCTCTCATTCTGGGAAGCCCAGGACACAGCTCTTCAGATGTGCTCTCACCAGAGCTGAGTAGTTACCTCCCTTGGCTTGCTCTTCCCAATGCAGCCCAAGATGTGATTGTCCTTCTTTGCTACAAGGACACATTGCTGGAATGTGTTCAGCTTGGTTTCTACCAAACTTCTCTGCAAAGCTGCTTTGTAGCCACTTGGCTCCTGGCATACGCTGGTGCATGGAGTTTGCACTTAGCTTTGCTGAAATGCGTCAGGCCGTTTCTCCAGCCTATCGAGGTCCTTTCAAATGACAGCACGACTATCAGGTGATCGAACCCTCCTTCCAGTTTTCTGTTCTCTGAAAACTTACACTCTGTTCCATCATCTAGGTCACTAATAAACATGTTTAATAGTATTGACCCCTTGGGTATGCTGCTAGTGGACTGGCCTCCAGCTGGACTTCAGGCTATGGCTCATAACCCTTTGGTCCTGACACTTCAGCTATTTTTCAGCCCACCTCACTGTCCACTTACCTGGGCCATGCTCCATGATGATGTTATCTTGATCAGGTGGTCTGTAGTGGGCATCTATAACAATATCACCTATGTTGGTCTGCCTGGTCATTCTGACCCATAATCTCTCAGATTGCTCATTATCCATCCCAAGATAGAGTGCATGCCATTCCTATTGCTCTCTCACATAAAGAGCATCTCCCTGTCACTGCCTTCCCAGCTTTTTCTTTCTAAAAAGTCTGTATTCATTCACAGTAGCAACCAATGAGACTGTGGCCTTGTAACTACACACGGAGCACTCTTTTCTCCTGTTTGTTCTCCGTTCTGCATGCATTAGTGCACAGACACTTCATGTGTGCATCCAGTCTTGCTGATTCCCAAGAATGAGAGCTTTCCCTGTAGTGTTTTTCTGTGTGCCTTTCCTTATTTAGCACCTATGCTTGGGGTGACCCCACTGTTTTGTTGGTTAGGAGGTATCTCTTGTTCACATTATCCCACACCCTTTGCTTGCCAACAGAGTCACTTGCCAACTTTGTCACTTGATGTTTGGTTGTATTTTCCCTTCTCTATTGTTCCTTGGTTAAAACTGTTCTTACTGGCTTGGCCAGCCTGTTGGCGAAGATGCTTCTGCCCGTCATAGTCCCATCTCTTCCAAGCAGTCCTTGATTCTCAGAGAGAGCTCTATGGTCGTAGAAACCTAAACCCTGCTGCCAACACCAGTTCCTAGCTGGTTATTGGCCTGCAGGATCTGTCTGCTCCTCAAGCCCTTCCTGCTAACTGGCACGACTGGGTAGAACAGCACTTGGGCCTTGACCATAGCTTCTGGAGCCACGTAATCACACTTGGTACTTTCCAGGTCTCTCTAGCTGTGTAGCTGGTGCCCCGGTGGAAGAGCAGAAGGAGTAATAGTCTGAGGGCTGGACAAGATTTGGCAGTCTTTAAACAATGCCATGTATTCAAGCCCCTAGCAAGCAGCAACCCTTCTTAGATGATGACTCAGAACATGAGAGTCCTCCATCACTTGCTAACTCTTGTCACTGCCCTCTTGTTAACTGCTATGAGGGTACTGAATCTTCCTCAGGTGGAACAGGAGCCTTTCTCCTAGTGAAAGAAAGAGCTTCCAGTTCATAGGAAGAAAAAAGCGTAAAGAAGAAATCTCAATGTAGTCAAATATTTCAAGGGAACACTTTTTACCATGTGGAAAGGTAGGATCTGGAGTATAGAATCCTAAAGGCTTGAAGTAAAGGGCAGTCTTTCTTTCCTACATGAAACTTCTAAGATATAAATGCTCCAAAATTTCTTTCTGCACTTAATTTCTCTTTCTTTGAGGAAGATGAGGCATCATAGAATCATAGAATGGCATAGGCTGGAAGGGACCTCAGAGATCATCTAATCCAACCTCCCTGTCATCGGCAGGGACACCTCTCAACTAGACCAGGCTACTCAAGGCTCCGTCCAACCTGGCCTTGAACACGTCCAGGGAGGGGGCATCCACAACTTCTCTGGGCAATTTATTCCAAAGTCTTACCACCCTCGTACTGAAGAATTTCTTCCTAAGATCTAACCTAAATCTGTTCTCCTTCAACTTAAACCCATTATCGAACCCTTATGTATTTTTTCATCAAAGAAAAATTTCAAGTTATTTCAGAAGTCTTCTTGTTTCAGAGTAGTTGAAGCAGTCTTAATGTATTTTACTGGTACGCAAAAGATAACACATCCCACAGCCCCCCAGAAGAAAAAGATTTTCCAACCTGGCATTTAAATCAACACACTTCTAAGTCTTCTGAAGTTTGAACATCAAGTTTATAAGTCTTAAGGTAAATACAACATAAATTGTATACTGTCCCTATTTTTTTTTAGGATTGGAGAGATACCATCCTTTTTTACCAGCTGGAGTATAGAAAGATGGTGACCATATAAATGGTGTGTTCAGTAAACTTCATAGTAGGTCAGGATTTCAGCATAATCATCTGTGAATCTGTTATCAGAGCATTTAGAAAAAGTATAATAGTGACATATTTAGTATAGGTATTTATCTGTCTTGAACTGCTGTATAGTGACATATTTAGTATAGGTATTTATCTGTCTTGAACTGCTGTAGTTCTTCTGTAGTGTACAGGTTTGATTTAATTTATTGTTGAGCCAACAGTTGATAACTGTAGGCTCTTGACTGAGCAGAATTAGAATTTGGATCTAAAACATAATGTACCTTGATACAAACCAAAATGAAACTTCAGTGTCAAAGGCCCCTCAGTAACCTTACTGACTGTTTTAGCCTGCTACTATTGTGACTTGAAATACTGCCTTTCTCCCTGCCTTAGTATTAAGAAAGGAAAACTGTTCTGAGATACTGTTTTCAACTGATGTACGTCTCTTTTTAAAACATCAGTTCAATACAAATACTGCGTTTCTGTAGCGTGATTTTAAAATACTTCCTGTAGCTATTACCATGCTGACACTAAATGTGGGAATTCTTTAGGTTACCCCGTTTGTAGGTAAAGATCAACTTAACAAAGATCTTTTTCTGTGCCCTAGGTAATAATTTGAACCTGACAAAAATAGCATTTGACTGTCTTACATTCTGACAGTTCTGCCTCAGATTTACCGTTTTGCATACTTATGCAATGAATACATTGATTCTCATGCAGAAATATTGCAATAATATTGCTAAATCTTGGCTGCATTCTTCTTGAGATAAACTTTGAAGTCCAGCAAGCTGATCTTGGATTGTAAAACAGGAATGATAACATGAGCAATTTTTGAGGGAAAATATTACTGCCTTTTTTGTACTAACAGAAGATGGCTCCAGTTGATTTTTTTGAAGTAGATATCAAGGGTTGCAGAATAGCCAAGCATTGTTTCCCTGGACATGAGAGATGGGAACGTAAGCCAAACACAGGGATCAGTGTCTGTATAGTTGACTAGAAAATTGATTGGGAGCATGTTGACAAAGCCATTTTAAGTATTCTTTCTTGACAACAAAAACAAATTCAACAGTAGCAGTGAAATCCTCCTTTTACTCCCTCCAACAGATACCACAGGAAGAATACTTAGGAGTCAAGGAATGTCCAATGATATGAGAGAAGTCTAGATCAGGCTTTTCCAGTCTGCCCTTCTT